ATGTATTGTGAGTGTCTCATGACACATCTCGGTTTTGAAAGGTGGAATAAGTTGAAGATAGTGCTTCTGTTGAGCTTGCTTAATCTGCCGGTGTCCTGTATACTAGAGATATGACACTAACAGCTCCACTGGGAAAGGGGGGAGGAATTGTATGTATGGGGGCTAACAGAAGTTTGGAACTTTGAATAGGATGGTTAGAGAGCCGAATAACAATTACTTGAGATGTGTGAAGCAGTCAAGGAGGCTTAGCTGCATTTTCTGTTAAATTTAATTAATGTATTCAGGTCTCCCAAGACTATTTCCTAAAATCTCACAGTCTGCTTGAAGGCTTTGGTCAATGTGATTTATGGGTTAAGGGCTTTTGAGTAATTTTGTGCTGCATAGATTTTAAGAATTGCAGTTGAAGTAACGAGCATTAATGGGATCAAAGTGTTACTATTTCAAGGAAGGTCCAATTGCAGTGATAAAAGCAGCACGAGCCATGGTTATTCAGTGGTTACTTATTTTTGTAGGGGTTTGTGGGTTTAATACAGTCAACTGCATGCCTTTATTGAAAGGGATGGGACACATACGTTCATAATTTCCCATTCCTTGGGAATCTCATGTTTGTGCACCAATTTTCAGCTCACTTTGAGCTATGGAGCCATGGCAATGATACGTGAAAAAGTTTGTCAAGTTTGTTATTTAAAGCTCACCAGGGTGGCGGACTGCCAGTCTGATTTGGTTGATGGGATGTGTCCTCTATGCATCACTTCAGAAAATGTATCTGCTAACAAATTATATTTATGTAAACATAAGGTAAGGGGTGCCTGTCTTAAGTCCTAGGAGCACGGCAATCATGTCAAAATAAAGACACAGGTAATGTATCATAGTGGGTGCAGGTTCACACAGATGCTTAGCAGTAAATTGTATTTACCAGCTGCTACCCTGCATACCATGTGCAATGTCTTATCACCCATGAAAGAGGACTATGGAGTAGAAATTTGCACAGGAGTTTCTGATACTTTCTCCTCATTGGAAATTAAATTATTGCCTTTTCTCCCTCACTTCACGGGTTTTATAAACTAAAAACTTGTCGGTAGTCATGCAATGCTTTATTTCTTTTAAAATAGGTTAGCTACCTTTGAATGCAAGGCTGAATTTTGTTTAATTGCACTCTTAATTTGGAATTAGGGTTGTAAAAATTAGAGTACAAGCCTTTAAATAGATTGTCAGGTCTGTTTTGAAACTCAGCTGGAAAAAAGGCATCATCACCATAGTGAATGATCCAACTTTATGAGCTCAGGTCAGCTTACATCTATGAGCAAATACTCAATTTTAAAAGAAGCTTAATTTGTTGTATGCACCCAGCTCTGGAAGGTACTGATTGCATCAAACGAGTTTTGAATCAGATGTGCAACTTCTGCATATGTTATAATGTAATTTTTGTAGAAAACTGGGTGACCGAGGGTTTGTCTTGTTTCTTGCTTTTAGAGTGCCTCTAAACATAGCTTTCTGCCTAGCTGGAGACAATGCCGGAATCAAATGACCCTTGCTAATTCTGCCCACATCTTGCAGTCACACTCATTTTCTACTATCTTGTTACCATATTGGTCTTATGTTTGCTCCCTGCAGGGAACAACTAATAACTACTGAATGCATTTCATAGGCACTACAATAACAGCCTTTTTACTTTTTCTGCCAGTGTGGTTGGTTGGCTTTGAAAGCTTTATTGATGATGTTTGCAACAGTTTTGTTTGTGGTAACAGCTGTTGTTTCAGACTTAAATTTCATCTTTGTATTTGTAGGGAATGTGATCTTTAACATTATCGTCGTGCTGCTGCAAGCTGGGTTTTTGGTGGTTTTTTTTTTTTTCCTCCAAGTAAATCCTCACTGATTTAAGTGAAAATCTGGATCAGTCAGGAGCTCTTTCCCAGCTAGACTGACCTCTCTTCTCTGACTGAGGGACTCTGACACTGGTGTGGCATTTCCTACCACAATAACATTGCAGCCTCCTTTTATTGTCTTCCTGTGCGATGACCAGAGGCAGAAAGGCAGCCTATTTTACGTACATATATGAATATTTGAATACCAACTTATCTAAACGAGGGGCCAGGCTCATGCCAAGTCTCTTCCTCTGGCGTTTGACCCAATGTTTTATTCAATATATAAATCCTTTCCTACCTGCTTTGTAGACCGAGGGACATAGAGGATATTTTCTGATATGTCTGGGATGTTGTTGAATTTAAAACTTGGCCTGCTAGGCAACCTTTCCTAAAGAGGGATTTGTGCCATCAGTCTGGAACAGCTGTCACAATCTTGCTGTCATTGAAAATGTATGCAAAGCGAATCACCATTGCCATGTTTAGTTCAATGCAGGATTAAAATGCACATGGATTGAAGTGATTGAGTGTTTACACTAGCAAGACGGTCCAGACTGAGAGTTGACTTGAGTCTATTCTTTCTGTATTATAGCTGTTCCGAAAATCGCTTACTTCAACTGTAATTCTTCTGGCCTCACAAACATTTGTATAAACTGGGTACTGCTGCTGCCTGCAGTACTTTATCCCACGTTATTATAAATACTTTATGAAAAATAATCTCTTTACTAAACTAGTGTCTAGTTCTCGGAGCTGTAAATGAAGTCCCTCATACCGTGGCTCTATGGATTAAAGATTTTATCATTCTAAATTTAATCCTGTTTTCTTGGTTGGTTTCCACAAGGGGTGGAAAAAATAGAGAAGGGGGAGGTTTGCCTGGTGATCCAGTTACTTATGATGCAAATTATAAAATTGTGTAGGTGTGGGGCTCTTTATGGAGCCAAATCTTATGTTTTTGCAAACAATTTTAAAGACCTAATTCAAATTAGTTGTGCTTGTAGAAGGCATGTCAAATGAATATGTAATTCTTTAAGAAAGAAGAAAATAATTGCACTTTTTTGTATTTTCCCATGACTGCTCCTGTTCATCTAACCAGTTGCTTCATCCTCACTGATGCTTCTAATGTTTCTCACTGGCAGGAGTGCAGCCCTCCCATATGCAGCTTCATGTTTGGGCTGCCACTGTTGCCTGCTTATGTTTGCAACTGCTGCTTCTTGTGAGATGTGAATTAACAATATATCTTGCATCTTCTCAAAATATTTGCATGCATAATTTCTTCTGGTTTGCAACGTTTCATCTTCTGGCCTTCCTACATTTTTACCAGACAAGGAGCAAAGGTGTAATGGCAGGAAGAAGATGTTTTTAAAAGAATTTTTTTTTTAATAGCTGTTTTTACACAATGCTTACTGGCATAATAAGTGGTGTGGATAATTCTTACGGAATTTTAGGTTTGGACAGTGGAACTTCGCATTTATATGTTGTTCTATGCCAGACAGTATAAGCTGTCAGGTATTTTTTTCCTTCTTAAGTTTTCTCACTGCTTCTGACTAAATTTCTGATTTGGTTTTGGTTTAGTGGGTTTTTCTCCTTGGATTCTGAAAGCACAGTTAATAGGCTAGTTTTCAAGTGGTTCCCCAGAAATGTATCTTGCTAAATTGAGGATTCCTTCCTTACTTGTAGCTATAATTAGTATCTTACTGCCTATTTAATTTTTTTAAGCTTACTAGAAAAGCAGCTACACATTGTGCATCCCAAAATCTCTAATTTTGCTTGTCTTCTGGTATTGCAATTTATGTATAGTTTTGCACTTAAAATATTTGCTCAGTTGCTATTTAAGTTACACATCAAATTTGTCTATTTGAAGAGTATATATGAGCACAAAATTAGCGTAGTTAAGTTGCTCCTTCCCTACCCATCTTAATGTGCATCTGAAATGGAAATTAGTGATGAAATTAGACGAGGAAAAATTACTTCACAAGAAATACAAGAAAAAGCATAGTTTGGGATGGTGATTAAAATCACGGTGCTTCTTCCAGGAAGATAGTTTACATGGACTTCAGTCTTTAGCAGTGTTTTTGCCCGGGAAGCTCGCATATCAGGCCATCATCATGCTGCGCTCTGCTCTCCACTGCTGCATCCCCACTTCTCCCTGGGGGCCTGTGCTTTCTTCCAGTACCCTTTCAATGCCCACCCAGCACCCTCCCTGAATGAGGTCTCACCACGTAGAATAAGTAGGGGTCTTAGGTCTTACTATGTCATGCTTATTGAAGGAGACGTAGCTACTATTCCCCTATCGACAGTATGCCACTATTTTCTCAGCTGTTTTCATACCTGGGGAGAGTGTGTACATGTGATATTTGTGAGTGGAATGAACAAAGTCATATGATATGTTTGGCATTCGGTTCTAAAAGGATATGAAAGCACAGTTGAAACAGAGATATACCTCTAAAAGCCAACTCTGCTATCAGTCTCTTGCTTATGCAATTGTGTGTGGAAAACTGCTTTTACATTTAGGATGTAGAGAAAATATTTCATGTTATAGGATTTTCTTGTGGAAGATTGCTGTAAGTAATGTTTGGGTGTAATAAAACCCTGCAGAGATCAGTTGGAAAAAACAAATTACACTGGTACCAAAATTATTTGAAGGGCATGTTCTTCCATTTCTCTTGGCACGCTTATATGTGGCCTCACAGTTCTTACAACTGTGAAGTCAAACTGTTAATGATCCTCTGAGGTATAAAAGGTGGCAAAAATTACTAATAGGTAGCCTGAAAATAGTCTTCAGTCTCATCTTTGTTTTTTCCTCATTTTTTTTCCCATTAAGAGTGAGGCATGCTCTGGAGAAAATAGTTTGTGCCAAAATAGGCCAGAGAAGGACACTGATTAATCCATCGAAATGAAATAATTTACTGCCAACCTTGCTCCAACTTTGGCATCTGGATCATGTGATTTTGTTGGTTTTCTACACCTTTTTTTCCCTCTTAGATAATTTTATTGATTTTGGTTTTTTAAAAAAAAAATTACTCCACTGCATCAGCTATTGCATGGGGAGTGGTTTGGATGGCACTGCTATTTTTGTAATAGGTTTTTCATCAAGGCTTCTGCTGCTTGACACAGCAGAAGTGGAAATGACCACTTCCTCATGTCACTTTGCTTCAAGGGCTCTTTCAGCTGAGGATAGGTAAGAGTAAAGAAATTGATTCCATGGGGGTGGGGTATTCTAGCTACTTCTATTTAAAATTTGAGCTGAGATTGAAAGATTTATGAGTGGTTTACATGAGGATTAAGAGAGGCCTAAGTTTTTCTTAAAAATAATTACCAAATTTGGGTTTGTTGGGTCCTCTCAGTGAGTTACTTGTAAAATCAGCTGTTTATGCAACACAGGCATTTCTTGTTTGTCATTCTTTGACTTCTTTGATTTCAAAAGTTGCGGATGCTCACTTAATTATGAATGTCTCCAGAGCCAGATGATGATGATTAAAACTTGGCATACAGTACTTTTAAAAACACTAATCTTCACAAGATTCTCTGTAATTAGGTAAGTATTCTCCTGACTTCACAGAGAGGCAAACTATAAGGGTCAAAACCTGCTTCTGTTCTGGAGTTGCTATCAACTCTTAAGACTCTTAATAGCAGAAGATCAAGCCCTTAAGTGATTTGTCTAAAGACAAGTAAGATGATGGAAGAGTTTGATTGGATCTTGCGTATTCTTGATTCACAGGCACCTGGCTGATAGCTCAAGATGTCTTGCTTGACGCTTCAGCTTTTTTCATTTTAGTGTTTATCTTCAAAGGTCATCAACTTTATATATAAACTTTAAAAAGTGTACGGTAAGTCAAGTTCTACACCTGTTATTGAGCCCTCTTCCTCACTCTAGTGTTCTTATTTTGACTTATCTCTCTATCGCTGATAGACACCCCCAAAAATAAAATGGGAGAAATTGTGGAAGTAAAATGAAATCACTTGGTACTGTCAGAGGCATAGTAAAGGAACTGAGAAACAACTTGGATATATGATAAGAAAAGTTATAAGTAGAAAGGCTGAAATAGTCTGTTGGTGAGATGACTGTGTTCTTGGGTGGTGGTTGTTTTGTTGGTGGTGCTAATACACTCTCTGCACTAGGACTCTGCACTAGGTTTGTACATGGTAGAGCAGGGTGAGGTGCATCCCCGGTTTGAGGGGCTGACCAAGCTGGTGGGGAGGTGTGTGTGATGGGGAAGGGAGCCTGAAGTATCATGTTCAACTCCCACCCTCTCCACTTGTACGTGCAGGGTCAATATGGCTCTGTCCCTGGATGAATTACTGCTCCATGTGGACATCTTCTAGTCAGGACACATCAACGCGTAGGGTTTGGGCTCTTGAGAAGAGCCACAAAACAATTTAAGTTTCCCTTTTACTGCTTTCCACTATCTCCCTTATGTAAGATTACTTTGTTACCTTTCTGTGGCTGATTAATATGTCAGGTGATTAATGACTTTCATCTGACACATCGATGGGATTAAACCACGCTGAAATACATCCTTCCCCTCCTATTGTTGCACGCCGCTGCTTTCTGCAAAGGAAGTACAAGAGGGGTTGTCTCGCTAGAAGCTCTGCCTGTATTTCTGCCTGTTTCCAATTGCCTTGCTTTTGGATACGTGTCTGTGGTGCTGAGTTGGCGTGCCAAAAATTGTTGTCTAAGGAAAGATTATGAAAGTGCATTTAAAATATTCTGGGAATAACACTGGGCAGCTTGATAAGAATTTGTTCTTGTTAATCAACGATTGCCAGTTTAACATGACTTGACCATGATTGTATCAAGTGCTATTGCAGTGCTTTTGCTCTGAAAAGCACCAGTTCAGTAATTTATGGATTTTTAGGGGATCCTGGCTTTAAGCAGATGAGAATTTGCATTAGATTTAAGCACAAAAAAATTAGGCATGTGCCTTAATTACTTTCAACAGCTATGCCAACTCTGCAAGGAGAAGTGTGACTGCAGAGCGTATGCCTAGACGTGCTAGCTTTAACCTACTAAATATGAGACCTTGTTGCCTTAATTTGGCAGAATGCTGAGCAGAAAGATGCAGTTTCCCTGGTGCCAGTGTCTGAGTGCTGCTTGATCTGGCTGAAAACTGATTCTCCTTTTTCTCTTCCCCACTGACCCCTCCCCACTCCCTGTCTTGTAAGTGGATTAATTTTCAGCCCGAGCAGCTCCCTGGCTCAGCTCTCAGCGCAGCCAGATGAACACTGTGCAGCTAGCATAAGCAGTTGGTAGAGATGAGAGGTCAGACCACCTCCCCTTTCAGCAGTGAGACAGACTGATGTAGGAATAAAGCAACCCTGGGACTGCAGCCCAACGAATGTGTGTAGCTAGTTACAAAGATGTAGTAGTATTTGCACATACAAATCTGCGGAGGACTGTGCCTCTTCTGTTTTCTGTTCCTGCCCAAGCCTGCACCATCACAGCTTTACCTCTGCTGATACATGCACTAACTTCTTTCACGTGCTAAACAGTGCTACAGCAGTGATCTTGTTCCATTGAAGGTAGATGTATATAAGGATTGTTCATTTGCCCTGCTCGAGCACAGAATTTCGGTTAAGGAGAGAGTAATCGCATTAAGATTTGGTACAGATGAGGTAGCTGTGTAACATGGTTACTGTGAGTAGTGAGTGGCAAGAAACTTAGAGCAAGTACTGTGCTGATCAAAAAGGTATCAGCCTGGATTTGCTGGTACAATTATGGGCAATTTTTCTTGCAATGAGAGTTATTTAAAATTTAAATAGAGTTGACATCATGTTCTTTTGACCTAATTCTCAGGCTTTTGTATTATTACTAAAATGATCTGGGGTATTATAATGCAGTACACTGCAGAATAGCGCTCCTAGGAAAGATTGATACAGCACTGGTGTTTGAATAGGAAATGGAGCGTGGCAAATTCTGAGATAATGCTGTGATCTTCAAATATGAAGGGTTGTATGTGTAGCTCCTGGGTGGAAAGCCACGGCTGTAGTTTGAAACTAACCCTGCTGAAAAGTGACCCTAGGAAAAACCGTGATGCCTCTTAGTGTTTCTTGTTGCATGGGTATATGAGGTGATGTTTTCTTTTCTTTGAGTAGTACTGCTAGTTTGTATATCACTAGATGCCTAGTTTGCATTAACACAAGTTGACTTTATTCTAACTGGTAGGAAAAAGTCGTCCAGCCCTTGTGGAATATTCCAAACTTTCACCGCCAAATTTAATTTACTGCATTCTTCCTTCTGGACAGCTTGCTCCCATGACAACCCCATGTCAGATGATGCATGTACAGACCCTGAGTTTCCCATAACTTTGTCCTTGGGATGACACCAATGGCATTTTTCTCATGATCTTTAAAAACACAGGAGAAAAATAGTTCCTTTTTCAAGAAGTGCAAATTGTCATTTGGAAAGCACCCTGCCTTAATGTAGGTTTCACTTATCTAGAAATATTAAGAGCAATCAGAAACATTCTTTTGCTTTGAACATTATGAAATGAAGGTTGTATTTAAGAGTGCAACTTCTGTTTAGGCATGCAGTAAGAGTCAGTCGCTGCAGAGTCAACTTGTTGCTTTTAACCCAAGTACCATCCAGATGCACCAACCTGACTGATAGTAGTTGTGCTCACAGCCCACCTTAGGGGCTATAGGCATTATCCAAGTGTTGTGTATACTTGTATAAGTAGTTCATCCACTTGCAGCAAGGACAAAGTGGAAAGAAGCGTGGAGCATTTTATCTTGCTGTATTCGTGGGTATGATTCCAGAAGTCCTAATGCCTTGCATTGAAAAATGAAGCTCCAGGGTAGGTGCGTGTCTCGTACGACTGTTAATGCCCAAGCCAACCCTACCTGCAGTGCAAAAATCCAGATGTTAGAATGCAAAGGTGTATCTCCAATACAGAATTAGCTTGTGTTTATCCTGAGATCAGTTCCCCCACATACCCCAATCTGCCTTAAAAATGTCTAACCTAGGCTATAGTAATCCAACAACAGGCTATCGAGGTTTCATTTCAGCCAGAGTTGGCAGTCCATGGGCCTTTCTCTGAAAACGCAGGCCAACAAAGCCGATAATATTTCACTGCCATGCCCTAATTACCCCTGAGTAATACTCTGTTGTCCATTTTTTCACATGCTTCAAAACACCTGTAATGGTACTTCAATCCTGCATTTGTCTGCTCTGTTTTGCTTTGCTGCAGTATTGGAACAGCAGTGCCATAAGGAGTATGCCTGTGCACAAGTTTGCAGAAAGCAGACATTCAGCCTTCTAGTACAGTTGTGCTGGCTGATCTGTAAAACCTGTAATTTGGGGAAAATGGATCTAAAGAAACTGGTTAAAGTCTAGCGGACAGAAAAGAAGAGGTAATGTCAAGCAGACAAGAAGAAATGAATTCAGTCTGCTGAAAGGTTTTGCTGCCAAATATTTTTGTATGATCTATGTTAGCAATAACTAACTCCATTTGGAAATTATTTTACACACAGAATTATTGTCATATTACCATTACCAACAGCAGCTCTGTGCTGGGGTGCACAAATCCTGCATGCATTTGTGGATCAGCCAAGTAAAAACATGGTATTTCCCACAGGAAATCTATCCCAGCATGCAGACTAGTAAAGCACTATTGAGGATGCAGCTGCATATGTAGGGCTTTGTACAGACGACCCTCCCTCTGTGCTGGAATAGCTCGAGCTGTAATTTTTTAGTTAAAGGCACATCCTTAATGCTTAGGCATCAAGTAATTTCTTCTGACATGTTAGACTTCTCCCAGTTAGAGCTATCTTGAAGATCTGCTACTGTCTTTACACACCTAAATGTTTGCTGGATTTTTCTGATAGTTTGGCTTAATTTCTTTAACAACTCATTGCTTCTTCTGCCCAGTTATTTTCCATTAGACTTCGTGTCTCCCTCTGCATGCAGAACACAGAGAAAACTTGACAGCTGTGTTTCATTCTCTTTCACATCTTGGTGTTTTACCAGGCACAGGTTTAGTGAAATCTTTATCATGGGATCTGAAGATTTTATTGCTTCATTTTTTTTGCTGCCAGGTTGCATTGTAAATGCAAAACTGGCTTGTTCAGAGTGCAGGCAGAAATGGTGCTACATTGTTGTCTGGTTGGGGTTTTTTGTGTGGTTGTTTTGGGTTTATTTCCCTTTCTAATTACTTAAAACAAATTGCATCAAGGATAAATGTTGCAAGACTGTAATACTTCTACCGATGTATTAAATGTCATCTTAGGAGACAAATTTATGTAATAAATTTGTAGAAAAGGAAGCAAATTTAAATTATTTTAAGCCAACCATGCTGCAGGAGGAGGATGGTGGAATGTTGCCTGCTAGTATTTTTATTATATCATCATCATCATTCACCCTTTTTAAATTGTAGGGCTGTCACTTCTGCAAGGAAAGGTTCGATGCTTTTTTTTGACCAATTTGCTTTTACTCCTGAGGATAGATAAAGATATTTTATTTAGATGTCAACTTAATTACTTTTATGCAGAAGACAGTACATCAGTGTGGTTATATTTCTTTTAATTTTACTACTTTACCATCTGAGCAAGCACTGCAGTTGCATGCTACCTGTCTGATTTATCAGTGTCTTGTAGAAAATACCTAGCCTTTCCTCTAACCTGAGGGGTTTCGGCAGTTTCAACTGGGTAGTGAGCCTGTGAGAAACTGGTTTGCCTGTACTTGGTGCTGCAGAACTTGACAATGATTTGATTCTGGCTTTGCTAATAAGGAAATCTTTGCCAGTGTTCTCAGGGTCCAAGAATTTTCCTGTTTCCACATCGTTATTTCCTGTCTTGGGCGAGGTAGGCTATTTTATGAAGATTTCTTCTGGTTCATCATTTCTAGTAGCCAAGACAATTACTAGAGAAAAATAAAAAAAGACTAGGTAGGAAAAGAGGATGCACACTGAATGCTTATCTTGCTGGTTATGGTACAGCATTTCTGAATACCCGGTGGAATTCTGTTTCTGTGGAGGTACAGCTTGCATATCCAGATGAATCTGTAGTAGCTGCTTTGGTACCATGCCTTTTCTAGTTAATGTACGGTACTGTACTCCCCCATTTGTCATCTAGATCATATGTATGTATGGTATCTCTCTGTAAGCCTGCGTTTACTGGGTTTCAGTAGTTAGAATGGAGTAACCGAGAGACAGCAGGGAATTTGGCATCATTTGAATGCCATGTTATTGTGTTGGCACCGTGTATAAATCATTTCCCCCTTTTTGTTTTGCTATTAATGATCAACTTCAGCTGTTGCGTTGTGAGTGTTGCAGTATGCTGCATGTCAGAGTGCTCAGAGGCCTCACTGCATCCTCTGCTTTGTGTGCACGATTATCTGTTCGTGCCATAGATGGGAATTGAACATCTAATTACTTTATAAGATTTGTGAACAGAGATTTAGAGCCTGCTTAGCCTTTGCTTGAAAGTACTTTCTGTGTGATTACAAGTCTGCTTTTGCTCTCCTCCTCAGGTCCTTTCACAGATGTTGTCACTACAAACCTGAAACTCGGCAATCCTACAGACAGAAATGTGTGCTTCAAAGTTAAGACCACAGCACCACGTAGATACTGTGTAAGGCCTAACAGTGGAATTATCGATGCAGGAACATCAATTAATGTTTCTGGTAAGTCATTCAAGCAATTTTTAGCTTCTTCTAATCACTTATTTCTTGGAACGCTTTGCAATCCAAAAGTATTTTGTTGAATGTTTGTAAAAGCAAGATGTTTTCATTTCATGGAGAAGCAGCAGCCATTTCATACATCTTTACTTCCTTTACTCCTGGTCTAGTAGTAATAGATTTGGGGTTACATCTCGAGGGGGGAGGGGAAATACATAAATTATTTATATAGTTCAATAACAGTCTTAGCCAGCCTATCCAAATCAGCCCTGCCCTCCCTGTGGGATTATTTTTGTACAGTTAGTTTTTTGCCAGCTTAACTTCCCGAGCCAGCTCACCACAGGGTCAAATGAGTGCTTGGACGGGCACATAGAGGTAAGAATAAAACTGGGTAGACTGCAGCCATACCAGACTGATGTAGGCTGTTGCCAAACTACCTAATATAACCAATAATGAAAACATGTGCTTTCAAACCATGCTTGTTTTGTGTTCCTTTAAGATGCCATATGCTTTGGTGTTAGGAATGTCAAGTGACTAAATCATTGCTGTTCCATAGGAAAAGTTAGTGATTTTCTCTAATGAGTCAGTAGCTCTTGACTTGTCTGAGTTTGGTAATGGAAAAGCAAAGAAGTGGCTTACTTTGAAAGCATGAAGAGTTGGGTGTTTCCCATAAATAGAATGTCTGTATATTACTAACTTGCTGATGACACATGCTTGAAAGCAATGTATTTTCTCAATGGCTTCCTAATCCATGTTTTTAATGAAGAATTCTATCAAAACATGTAGCAGTGGCATACTGTATGAATAAAGTCTGACTTTTTAGTTAAGAAAATTATTTCTGTAAACATGCAGATTTATTACAATCGCTAATAAATTTTAATATTGGCGATTACTAACTTGCTGATGACACATGCTTGAAAGCAATGTATTTTCTCAATGGCTTCCTAATCCATGTTTTTAATGAAGAATTCTATCAAAACATGTAGCAGTGGCATACTGTATGAATAAAGTCTGACTTTTTAGTTAAGAAAATTATTTCTGTAAACATGCAGATTTATTACAATTGCTAATAAATTTTAATATTGGCATGATAAGAAAAACTACTTGCTGATAGGTTATGCGCTTTGCTGTTAGTCTCTTACCAAACTTTTCTAGCCTTGAATAAAAAAACTTGGGGAGATAAAACTACTGCTTTTTACTTGAAAAAAAAAATCAAAATATAAAAATCAATACTTCATTTTTTTACTTAATAAAATATAAAATATTTCAACACCTCATCCTTGGAGATCTTGCTTCAAGAAAATAAAAATTGATCCCAAAAGTACTTTTCGCTGTAACATTAAGAGGCTCTAATCCTGTAAGTCTTCTTGTGCATGCCTGCATTCGCACGCTCATTGATCTGTTGTCTTTGGGATTTCTATTGTGTCAAATTGAGCATGCATATGACTGCAGAATGTGCCTCACTTGCAGTTAATCTATGGGGAATGTCACAGGCAATGTGGTAGCTACAAGTGGGGCAGGCAGAGCACTTCTGTTTAAGGAGAAGGCTAGCACGTATCCAGTAAGCTCTGAAATGACTAATATGTAAATGAAAAAGCTCTCTAGAGAGAAATTGAGATTTTTAAAACTCGGGACAATTTCCAAGTAAAGCTGTCTGTCATCTATACTAGCTGCAGGCAAGCATATTAAATGCACAGAAATCAATGAAGTGGTAATGAAAATTAGCATGGTTTCTAGCTACAAATTATCTTCATGCTATAAAGATGTGGATTCTTTTCATCTTTCAGATGAACTTTCAAAATTAAAAGCCCGCTTCCTTTGCTGGCACACACCATGCTTTTTTAAATGTCATCTTGATCTCAACGTTGAGTGTTTTCTTAAACTTCTGCTTACAGTGACCCTTTGCTCTACCTTGAGCAGAATATAGTATAGGCAAGTGTTGTATGAACCATCTTATATTATGCTACCAGCATGCCTGCATCTTACTTGCTTTTCCAGCCCAATTCTTCCCAGCAGCATACCAGATAGAATACGGATCTAGTCCAGGACTTGACTTAAAGTATCCCGTTATGAGAGATTGCTGTGCTAACCCTAAGCTATGCTTTGCTCTTGCTTACATAGCTTTGAAAAATTTCCCTTTTCTGATAACTTTATTTATAGTGATTTATGATTCCATTAGTTTTGCAGATGGCTATGGTATATTTAATCACAAATGCACATTTGTGTTCTACATATTTTCATGCTGATAGCTTAGTAATAATAAATAATGATCCTAAATTGCCAGTCCTTACATGAACATTATATTTTGAAATGCAAGTAGTACACATTCATTGTTCTTTAGGTAATATATTAAGGTAAATTTATAGGTAATGTGTTACAGAATTCTGGGGTTATAAATTTTAATTCTTTATTTCCTGAAACATTCTAAACTGAAGCTGTCTTTATCATGTGCTGTGGTTAAATTTCTCTTTAATAGAGTTGTATACATTTTACTCCTGGTAGCTCCTTTAAACCAAGCAGGGGACCTAATTTTGGACTTGATGATGGCAGTGTCTTTGGTTCTGATTAGCAGAAGAGATCTTTTGGATAGAGGGGATCAAAGAGGGGACCTTCATTAACTTACAGAACAGAATTGTTTTTGAATTCACAGAAAGGGGGGAGATGTTTTTAACCTTTGCTTTGGAGAAATGTTGCTTAAGAACAGAGGGCTGATTTTGGAGTTAATGAAGTGAAAAATAAATAGAATTTGTTTCTTTGCTTCTGAATCAATTATTTTTCAGTCATGTAATTCAAGTCTTGCACGGGGCATAAAAATAGGACTTGAATTCCTCCAAACCTAGTGAAAATACTACTGATGAGAAATTATTAGAATGTAGTTAATTCAGTAATAACTTCCAGACACTTAAACTAATTGGGCTGTATTTACTATATGCAATCTGTCCTCTTGAGAATTGCTGACTGGCTTTAGCACAGCCGCTTGGTAGCACTCCATTGGTACTGCACCTTGTCTCTCAAAAAAATCAGTGCCTAACTATAGTGGCGTGAAGCTCTGGAACAATTTATAAGTTTCTCAGAATTTTACTGACTGAAGCTGAGTTTGGGGCAGCCTTATCTTCCCTGGGCTGTACTAACCAGACACCTTAAACTCCTGTGAAACGTCTGTACTATTTTGATGTAAGTGTATGAGAAGATGTTCTGTCCTAAGACAGAGGCAGCAATCAGAACGTTATTCCACTTTATTTCATACTAGTATGATGGCTCATGTAAAACATAAAATGCTAGGAAGGTAAAGCTGGCTTTATTCTAGTGGAGTGTCAAATACTGGCTTCTTATGCCATATCACAGCTTTTCCTAAATATCTGCATTTAAGGCCCTGTCAGCACGCTTTGCTGGCTGCTATGTCAGGTTTGTAGCCCGTGTTTTCACCTGTTATATAATGGCATGTAATTTTAACTGCTGAGTTTATGTAACTGTCGAGAAGTGTATGTGCGCGCTGTCATCTGATTTCATTGCATTTGGTCTGAAATACTTTGAAAAGAAGGGTATTTGCACACATTCCATTTTTGTTAAACATGTCTTATTTCAACAAAGATATCTGATTTTCTGGCTTCCCGAGAGGTTGAAATCTAAATAAAAGGCATGAATGGATTACAAAAGAACAGTGGAAAAAATATAAGCAGAGGCTGATGAGTCTGCAGATAGGTGTGTAACAGGGGGGAGAGGGGAAGTACAGATGGTACCATCTGTGCACAGTGTCCCGCTGAAGAGAGCAGTCTGAACATGCTTCCTAAAAATGGGGAGAAGCTGACGTTATCCTTCGGTTACTGTCACATATCCTGCGGGGGGCAACAGATTTTTAGTCTTTTGCAAACTCGCCTGACTTTGAAAAGGCAGTTTGAGTTGCCTTCAGGAGGGTGCTTCTGCAGCTGCAGTTTTCTTCAGTTGCAGCGGCTCTGCCCCTTTGGCTGAGACACCCATCACGTCCCGTCCGCTGCTGCAGCCCCCGACTCCCCCCAAGGCAACCTCGCTGCTGCACGCGGTTCCCCCAGGCATCCCAGGACCTTGTAGCAACTGCCAAGTTTTGGTTTGGTTTTCTCTGCTTGCTTTAGAAGAATCTGTCTTGATCTTCACAGATTCAACATTTTTTAGTATTACTGAAATATTTACAGCAAGAACTATGTAAACATGGAACAAATGAGAAGTGGTGCAGTGGATTCTGCCTGTTTCTGTAGAGACGAGTGTCCTTTGCTCACCTCTAGTGGAGCTGATCAAATTGCACAATGATCTTGAGGCTTGCCCCAGTAGCTGGTTGGGGTATTTTATGTAAAGATGACATAAGTGTGGTAGATTTGATCTATCCTGACCATAAAGAATTTCATGTAGTGCCATTTGGGAAAATTATCAATAAAGCTAGAAAAGAAAAATAGATTCACAGACTACTGAATGGGCTACTTAGAGTAAACAGTGATGTGGTGGATGGAAATGTAATAGCAGGAAGTTACTAGTGATGTTTCTTGGTACTAATCCTGTTTAATGCTTTTGTAAGCAATTCTGGCGCAAAAACAGTACACAAAGAACCCTGATGATGATGTAAAGTTGGGAGGCTGAAGATGTGCAGCAGAACTGTGTGTCCTTGAAGGCTACAGTAAGAGAAATGGAAGATGACTTTCATCAGAAAAAACTGCAAAATCACGTACTTGGAGAATAAAATACTCATGCTATAATCACAAGCTTGCTAAACGAAGGGGGCTGGATAGGGTGACTGAGATGCTGACAAAATGTGGCTGTGAATAAGACAAATGTAGTATGTGCAAACAGGCTGGATATGGGAAGATCTAAGAGGGTATAAATGCTGTTGTCCCAGGCACTAGTAAAATTTCCTGGATGTATAATTAGAGTAGCTCTCATAGAGGAGTTCAAGCCAGAACAGGTGCAGAGAATGAATGGGGAGCCTGGCCCAGCGGAGACCCACCAAGTCTGGCTTAGTTTACCAGAAGGCCAAGAGTTACTGTGATTGATGTCTTGGAGTGCACCAGAAGTAAATGACTCTTCCCCTTCTTTGATATTTAAGCCTAAGGGCAGTGTTGGTCCAGGACCAAGTAAACAGGCCATTAATAAATTTAGATGGAAACTAGAGGAAAGTTGCTGACTAGCTGAGCAGGGAGACTTATCTGTTCCTTCTGGTCTTGAAAGGGAGTGCTAGATCCTAGCAGGCGTTAAGGGTAAAGTTTTGTCTCCTTTAATGTTTCTTGTTTTAAATTTCCTCTGTTCCTTGCAAAAGCAGGTTTACTCTAGGAAAACCATTAGAGTTCAATCCTTCTGACATTGTTATTAACTTGCCAGTAAACTGTTCTAGGAAAAGGAAAGAGCATATTAGGTGGTCACTGCCTTTCCTTTGCTGTCTACAGAGGTCCTTGTGTAAAATATGGGGGGATATAGCAGGAA